GCATGCACGTATTCCGTTTGCCAAATTCCAGTCCTAACCGGACACAAGAACGAAGCAAATACAGATTGATCTGCCACCAAGTCGGGCTTGGCATTCCTTGGATGGGCGTCGCACTCGTGTCAGCAGCTGCACGGCCGGGTGGAGGTCGGCGTCTCCTTCTCGGCGGCGATGGTCCCGATCTCGTCGGGGGATATATTCCGGTCGGATTAGACCTCCCCACAGCCGAAGTCGTCGAGTAGCTTGTTGTTGGAGAATCCATCTCTTAAACCCATCTCGTCGAAATCCAAGAAGCACCAAAATCCCCCTACCTGGCGCGCCACTGTCGACGTTTGATATCGCAATTCTGGTATTTGTACAGTATGGGGATCGTTGATGCTAGGATATATGCGAGACTGAGGTAAAAGAGATGGAGACAGGGATTTTTATACAGGTTCGGGTCCCTGAGCGGTCAGGTAATAGCCCTACATCCTGTTGGCCAGAGCCGATGTTGCTTTTTATTCACCATAATCACACCAATACAATATGTGGGCAGCCTATCTAACTGTTGTCGACATGTCGGTCTGAAGGTCTGACTCGTAGTCGACAACTGGGTAGTCTTCCTCCTCGAGTCCGTACCCGGCGAGATCAAAGATAGCGCTTTCGTATCTCCTGACGGTATCCGGAGACACCGTAGGGGAATAGCCATGCCTATCTGTGAAGTCGATATCCGGCGGCGTGTCTTGGCGTATGTTGGCTTGTATGTTGTGGCTTCTGGTGGGTGTATGTTGATAATCATGGGTGTCTTCCATGGTCTCCTCTCAGGGTGGTTCCCCCTCTCCTCCTCGGGGGCCTTATATTTATACCCATAGGTGTCCCTTTGTCCAAGTAGAACTAGGGAAACCAATATGGATACAATCCGAGTAGTCCTTGTCGTTTCCATGTAGAACTCTGGTTGTCTTTCCTTATCCGGAACTCCCTCCATATCTGAAGTTAGTTTCCGTATAGGACATGGTATGTGGTGGATCCTGCCGAGATTTAGTCAACTACTATTAGGTATGTGGTATGCATAACCATGACAGATGAGTAAAGAGGATAAGGTTTAGACAGGTTCAAAACTTCTCAATGAGAACTAATATCTTACTCCTGTTTTGAGGACTAGATCCGCCGAGTATTGTATTGATGACACGATCAAGTTGTGATTATGCCTTTGAGAGGCCCCTGCCCTCCTTATATGTGCGAGGGGTAGGGTTACAAAGATAGGAATCCAACCGGACACGGTATATGTTTCCTTATCTATTACATAATTGTACTTATCTAAGATTCATGAGATTTTACCCTAAAAAACAAGGCAATTAACAGTCACAAGCTCTAATCTCTTACATAATCCCTCACTCGGTCTACCTCCTATCTCTAGTCGGATATCCAGGCCACGTGAGTATGAGTGTCCATAATATCCATTGAAGCCCCGAGACCTTCACAATCGAGGAAAATCTTCTCCCAAGCTATATCAATCAAAATCGAAGTGCTTCAACATCCTCATCTGTGATGAATTTTGTAAATATTATGTGATGTGTTGATGGATTATGTGACTCCGTTCATCCTATGGATTTTTGTTGGCTATTTGTTTCATTATTTTAGGGATTTTAATTGTGGGCTCCTTGTCTCGAGCTAGCCTCGATGATTTTTTTTGCCTCCCGGAGGGTCCTTTTTGCCGGTTGTCAAGACTGCCTTTGTTTCATCACGAGGTGAATTATTAGCATGCAATTAATTATGTATTAATTATTTCAAGTTTATAAAACATATTAATATGATTTTTTAAACTAACTTTTTCATAGAACATTTTAAAATACAGACCAATTAATAGTTCGGGAAATGTGCGAAAAGTTTGAAAATCTTCTCTCTTGCTTGTAGGATCAAATGCAGACAAGATCCAATACAAAATCACTACTACAGAAAAGGGTTTTAGTGCCGGTTGGAAAACCCCCTTCGGTGCCGGTTTTCCCAACCGGCACAGGGGAGGCGACACTGATTTGAAAATAAAAAGGTGTCGGTTCCGTATAACCAGCACCTTTTAGGTCGAGAATGCTCTGTATTGGTCGACAGGGGGGAGGGGGGGTGTGGGAAAATCGGTCACTCCCCCTCCCCCCACGTGCGCTCCCCCTCCCCCCACGCGTGCACCCCACTGGACCCACCCACTTGTCCCTCCCCTTGTTCCACAATAAATGTTTCACCTAGTGTACTTATAATGTTTCACTATGTATAGATTTAATGTTGCAGTGAATTAAAATATTCTTTTGCAACAAATCACCCATATATTTTGGAAACCCTCTATTAAGGGAATTTGGTTTGTTTTTTGTTCCACCAAAAATGTTTCACCTAGTGTACTCACAATGTTTCACTATGTATAGACCTAATGTTGTAGTGAATTGAAATACTCCATTGCAACAAAAAAAACCCACATATTTTGTAAACCCCCTATTAAGGGAATTCGGTTTATTTTTTGTTCCACCGAAATATGTTTCACCTAGTGTACTTATAATGTTTCACTATGTATGGATCAAATGTTGCGGTGAACTAAAACATTAATTTTACATAAGGTGAAACAACACCCGATTTAAACGAGTGAAACATTTTCGATCTATTTAGTGAAACAATTCTGATATACCTGGTGGAACATCGTGCAACATTTAAAAATAATTCAATAATAAGCAAAAAAATTTTTGTCGGAATATAGTCTTGTTTCGAAGATTTAATTGCAACGAATTTAAAGGTGCAATCGGATTATGATTTGGATAAGTAATTTAAGAGAAAAATCAGTTTACAATAGTTTTGCACGTAACTCGGGCGCTGACGTCAGCGCCCGATTTTTCTCCAAACCGATCGGCCGCCCGACCCGCAGACTCATCCCCTTTTACGTTCGACGATGCAAAAAAGCCGGCTCGATGCCGAAATGTGTCGGCTCGATCAAGCTGACGCATCAAGCCGAGCAGTCCATCCTCCCACATCTGCAAGAACTCCTCCCACACAGAGCAAATTTGGATCCACAACATTCATCCCACAACGTTCAAAGATGGATTCAGCCTGCAACACAAATTTATGCAATAAAAAAATCCCACAACATTCAAAGAGGGTTTGCTTGGCTTGGTGGCTTGCCTTGTTGAAGAATATCGTCATGCCGCCGCAACCCCACTCTGCCTGATGAAGTCGTCGTCGCGCCGTCGGTCGGTCGTCTTCTAGCCATCGCCCCGTCGCCCGCCGACACGTCTCCTCCGCGAGCCCGCCGCCCCTGTCGCCGCCTCCCCACCGGCCAGATCTGGCGGGGAGAAGGGCTCCTCCCCGCCGGCGAGCCCTCCGCCTGCCGCCACCTCCACGAGCCCTTTGCCTGCCGCCGCCTCTCCTCCTCGAGCCCTCCGCCGGACACCTCCGCTCCTCGAGGCACCCCGCCGGCCGCCAATGCCGGATCCGGACACCGCCCGCCCGCCGTCGACCCCGCCCGCGCTGACGCCATCCCTCCTGCCGTCGCCGCCTCCCCTCCCGCCAGATCTAGCGGAGGGGAGGGCACAGTCGCCGGTGCGGCCTCCGCCGGCCAGCTGCCGGCACAGAGAAGGGAGGGAGAGAGAGGAGAGAAGAGAGCGAGACAGAGAAGGGAGAGAAGAGAGCGAGAAGAAGAGGCGAAGAAGAGAGCGAGACCTTATCTCCACATGTCGCTCGTCATGGTGGGGCCCGCCGGCTTGGTTCCGGCTCGGCTCGATTTTTGGGGTGCTATTATAGGTGTCGGTTTTTTTAAAAAAACCGACACAAAATATAAGAGGTGTCGGTTTTTATTTAGCACTAACACCTATAATTACTTAAAGGTGCCTTTTTTGCGATTTCTACCCGTGGAGGTGGTAAAAGGCCCTATAGGTGCTGGTTTTAGCACTACCGGTACCTATAGTGGTGACACCTATTTGATGTTTTGTAGTAGTGAATCTATCTCCGCTTAATTACTGGTAATAATTATTAAAAATTAATATATCTCATTGTCAAGGGAGGTATTCTTATATATATGATTGATGCGGAAGCACACAAGAAATATTAGAAACAGTGACCTTGCAGGCTCGAAAATGTACAGAAAATGTACTATTTTTTTAGTGCTATATATATATTTTCTTTTTGACAAACACGGTACAGACGGAGGTGCTGATAACGTGTGCACACCATGAACACCCTACCCCACTAAAAGAATAAAATAGACTTAAATGCGAGCACCCGTACGTTTTAAATCTAAGAATTATATCCGGGTGAGCGAGCTGGTTCCACAACAATATATTCTGATATTGAAAATACCTTCTTAATGTAAGCTTATCAAGGGATAATAGAATTCCTTGATAACAACAACAATAATTTCATTTCTTCTTCTATCCTTTCAGCCAGGGATGTTGGCGGCATCTCAGCATTCTTTGAGATTCTAATCTCAATTTATTTTAAATAGTGGTGTTAGCGCATTTGCGTTTCAGACAAAAAGGTTTCTTGGAAGTTTTATTATTGCTGTCTAGCATATTTTGAAGCAAAGAAATGGAAAGATTTTTCGGAATGAGCGACCTTCCTTTGAAGGCTGGAGAATTTTGTTCAAGAAAGTTCTTCTGCAGCATATGTGCAAAATGAAAGATCCTCTAAAGAAAATAGTTTTTTATTGATTATAACCTTTGTAATCTTTTCAGTGCTCTCCTTGTAATTATTTTTTGTAAAATACTTTTTTCTTTTAATGAAAATCACGCTGTTAGGCAAAGTCCTAGTAGTAATTCAAATAAAAAAGCAAACAAAAATATTTTCAGACCAGCTAAAATTAGTAAACGTTTCTTGAGTAGTAATCCACACCAAGCCAATATATATTCTATCATAATTTTATACTATCACACCAAGCCACTGCCCACTGTCTCATTAGTTTCTTGAGTAGTAATCCAGAGGCACCAGGTGACATACTCGCTGACGCCACGGAGCACCCATAAAACTCGCTATAAATAACGGCGCGAAAATGGAAGAGCAAAGCTGTCTCACTTCACCAGCCGCTCAATCCTCTCCCAAGAATCGATCGGCCGGCCATGGCGGCAGCAGCAGCGACAGCTCCGGCGGCAGCGGTGGTGCGGCGAATGAAGCTGGGGTCGCAGGGGATGGAGGTGTCGGCGCAGGGGCTGGGCTGCATGGGCATGTCGGCGGTGTACGGGGAGCGGAAGCCGGAGGCCGACATGGTGGCGCTCGTCCGCCACGCCGTCGCCGCGGGCGTCACCTTCCTCGACACCTCCGACGTCTACGGGCCGCACACCAACGAGGTGCTCGTCGGCAAGGCGGTGGCGGCGGCGGCGGCGACGGAGGAGGAGGTGCAGGTGCAGGTGGCCACCAAGTTCGGCATCACGCCGGCGTGGGAGGTGCGCGGCGACCCGGCGTACGTGCGGGCGGCGTGCGAGGGCAGCCTCCGGCGGCTCGGCGTCGGCTGCATCGACCTCTACTACCAGCATCGAATCGACTCCACGGTGCCCGTTGAGATCACGGTGAGAGCAGCTGATCACGAGATCCTAGATCCTATGTATTGTATTGTAGAGGGTAGGATTTAAACATATACTTTACTAAGGTTGTGTTTAGTTTACGCTTAAATTGGAAATTTGGTTGAAATTAGAACGGTGTAAGGTCATGTTTAGTTTCTAAAACAAAAACTTTTTACCCATCACATCGAATGTTTGGACACATGCATAAAGTATTAAATGTGGATAAAAAAACCAAATATACAGTTTGTGTGTAAATTGCGGGACAAAACTTTTAAGCCTAATTATGCCATGATTTGATAATGTGGTGCTACAGTAAACATTTGCTAATGACGAATTAATTAGGCTTAAAAAATTTGTCTCGCAGTTTTCTAACGGAATCGGTAATTTGTTTTGTTATTAGACGATGTTTAATACTTTAAATGTGTTTCCGTATATCCGATGTGACACCCGAAAACAAAAAAGAAATTTGCCATCTAAACCGGGCCTAAGCGGATTGTTGGTGTGGATTATTTATTTGATTAATTATATGCATAATAAGTTACATGTCTTACTAAAAATAAACTTAACAAATTAATAAAAACAAGTGATCTAAGCAATGTTATTGAAAGCTTTTTGCGAAAATGTACTTTTCTCAAAGAATAGAACAAATAACTTTTCATATAATAATCCAGTGAATATTCTGAAAAAAATATAGGCACTTAGCAACACAATTTTAACTATTTCCTTTTGTCATACAGAAATTCTAGTCAGGATACAGTTTTCAATTATACAGTCATCATGTGATGTGGACACATGGAAATGATGGAATAACGCTTCTTTTAATTAAAAAATAAATTATATCATGATATATACTGGATTATTACTGACCAAATTAAGTTAATATTTTAAAAATAGATAAATATATAGATCTTACTCATGTTTGTCTTGAAAAGTCACACACTCTTTATCTTTTTGAGTAAATTAATTGATGAAGAACTGACCAGAATGCGGAGAGATCTTCTGATTACGTTGGCACGTAGCACACGCATTTTAATTTACTGTTATTGCTTTGAATTTATATAGATAGTCATATGATGCGGAGACGTACGTACGCCAAGGTGATGGTAGAACGCTGTGTTTTTAATAATAAATAAATCATATCATGATAGTTGCTGACTAAATAGCTCATGGAGAAATGGAAAGATATTAATTTTGACCGAAGTTAATAAATAAAATATAGATATTATAGGCCGCAAATAAAATAAAATTTTAAAACCTTAGTTTTAAACCGTCTGCTCCTTTTTATTTATCGTTTTATACTTTTTTTACCTTGGATTTTAAACTACTAAGAGAATCATACCCTATTACTATTTTCGGAAATTCCCACAATTTCAGAGAGCACCCGAGACTATATAATACCTGCTTGTATTGAAGGAGAATGGATGACATGTCCATGGATGTGTTTCTAAACTGCAGTCTATGGATGTGTTTCGAATCAGTCCAAGATTATGGAATAGGTTAATTTTGTCAATAGTCTATGTTTAATACTTCTAATTAGTGTCCATGTGACGGGGACTTACAAACTTTTAGTCCCATCCAACACCCCCCCCCCCAAACGTTTGCTTGGCCATAGAATTGAAAGTTCATTACTGAAAAAACGGCCAGTAAGTATTTTTAGCAAAACCGTTTATTAATAGATATGGATAGAAAGATTGTACTCCTGTTGGTGTTGAGAAGTCACACACTCTTTATCTTTTTGACTCAACTGAAGAGCTGACCCGATGGGAAAAATTCAACAAAAATAAACCGTACTTTCCATACCAATTCCAACTTCGAAGATAAGTATTAATTCAGCACTCACCAAGCCTACATTTCTGACTTTTATATACATGCAGATGGGTGAGCTGAAGAAGCTGGTTGAAGAAGGCAAGATCAAATACATTGGATTATCTGAGGCCTCTGCGTCGACGATAAGGAGGGCTCACGTGGTTCATCCGATCACCGCAGTTCAGATCGAGTGGTCACTGTGGTCAAGGGATGTCGAAGAAGACATTGTTCCAACTTGCAGGTAAATATATTATATATGTAAGAATCATGGAGCAGTACTACTACTACTATTATTATTTTCTAGAAAACCGGGAATATTTCGGTCTGCAGGGATTGCAATTTCGATCTGAAATTTTGGAAATTTTGCCCCTCTCTAGCACGCAAATATCTAGCCCGAAATTCTTGGCATTTTTCTTTTTTTTATTTAGTTAAAAATTATTCAAATTCAATCAAAATTTGTTAAATTTTTTCAAATAATTTCGTGCCAAAAAGTTCGGAAATTCCCACAATTTCAGAGAGCACCCCACACCATATAATACCTGCTTGTATTGAAGCAGAACATGTCTATGGATGTGTTTCTAAACTGCATTATTTCTTCTTGTTCCGAAAATTTCAGAGAACTTGGCATTGGAATTGTGGCGTACAGCCCGCTAGGGAGAGGGTTCTTCTCCAGTGGAGCTAAACTGGTCGATGAACTTCCTGACGACGATTTCCGCAAGGTGATTATACTGCCCATGAGATCAACCACGACAGCCATCAACAATTAATTACGATCTAAATAAAATCTTAAATATCGATTCTTTGTTTGTCCAATCAATACATAGATCGACATTGATCCGTGCCTGTTTTTCACAAATATAATATGCATTTTCCACTCTTCTCTTCAGAGCCTACCTAGATTCCAGCCAGAGAACCTCGAGAAGAACGCGGCGATATTCGAGAAGGTTAATGCCATGGCAGCGAGAAAGGGATGCACATCGTCGCAGCTCGCACTGGCCTGGGTTCATCACCAAGGGAGCGATGTCTGTCCCATACCAGGAACCACAAAGATCCACAACTTCGACCAGAATGTGGGAGCACTGTCAGTGAAGCTCACACCTGACGAGATGTCTGAACTTGAGTCGTATGCTTCAGCTGACGTTGTGCAAGGTGACAGGTATCATGGTACTTTTCTGAACACCTGGAAGAACTCTGAAACTCCTCCGCTGTCATCGTGGAGATCAGGCAATTAATTAGTCAGAGAGATTGTCATCTGCTGGGAGTTTGATGGAGTTTTATTGTCACAAATATAGATAGCTTGGTGTATCAATCACATGTTTATTATGCAAATAAAAGTTTGTATGGATTGATAATGTTCCAGTGTTTTTGCCATGTGGCGCAGCAGTGGTTTGTATGATTTGGATGATATATAGTATCTTTTGTAAGTTGGGTATATGATATCTATTAAGCATAGGAATATAGAAGTTTCGCTTGCCATAATATGGCTCATGAATAAACAAATGTCCTGAACAGCCAAAGTTTGACTATAGCTTGAGTGTGACAAACATTTCAATTGGATGAGACAAACACCTGAAAAGTTCATTCTTATTTGTGATGTAACTAATTACAAAATAACTAATTGCCAATAAATTTAATTCTTTATGTAAGATGTCACAAAAATTACAGTTAATAAAACAGTCGTACTATTTACAATTACTCTCACTTTATTCGCTAAAGTCTCATCACTACAGAAATGCCCATCACAGCATCACTGCCACCGGCAATATCACTAGAGGGTTGTCAACCGGTAGTGATGCCAGTTTCGGAAAAAAAAAAGAAAATCTGAGTTGCTCGCCAAACTATTACCATTGTCATCGCCAATACTGTCGTCACCTAGCCATCACCGCTGTCATCGCAAAGTAGGTCGCAAACCGATAATGTTTTTGCCATGTGGCGCAGCAGTGGTTTGTATGGAGTGTTTTTGCCATGGGGCGCAGCAGTGGCGCTAGGGATGCACGGAACGGCAAAACGATCAGTAGGCCCAAAAAGATAAGGGAGGCCAAATAGACTTATTTTCAGCAGTATCAGCCACAGCCCAAAGAGTTGAGGGAGGTAAGATAGACTTATTCTATCCATATAAGTCCCATTCCAAAGAGATGAGGGAGGCAAAATATACTTATTCAAGGACGAGCACGGTGGGCTAATCGTGTCTTCGGGTTGGCATGGCATGGCCCGAGAGCCTCATTGAGTCGTGCCTAGGCCGTTGGTGTATGGCATGGCCCTGTACGGCGAGTTGGTTGGGCCATGCCGGCCCGACTGGCCTCGGGCCGTGCCTGGGTCACGCCAGGGACGGGCCGGGCCAAGCCGAGCGGCCCATTTTGGCCATCTATTAATGTAGGAGCTCATGAACAGTATATGAAGACTTCAAGTGCCAAAGGCTCCAAGGTCTACTTTCGCTACCACACACATAAACGAATTTTGCTTACGATCAAAATCGATTTTCACGGACGGGTGGGTGACCCGCTGCACCCAGGTGTATGCAAAAATCTGTATTTTTGCCTGCGTGTAGAGCAACCGCTGCGGGTGCTCAACCTGTCCAACTGCAAAATGAAAAATCGGCCCGCCAAAAAAATTAATTCCAAACAAAATTTGAAACCCTAGCAATCACCACTAGGATCCGCACGCCGGTGCCACGCGTTGAGCGCCGTCGGTTTCCGCTTGGGTGGCAGAGAGCCGTATCCGTTGCCGCCGCTGTCCCCACCGCCGGATCAGCCACCGCCACCGAGTTCCCCACCGCTGCCGCTCCTGCTCCCGCCCACCACCAGATCCCTCCGGCGCAGGTCACTCCTGCCCATCCCCGACAAAGAGGAGAGGAAAGGAGAGGAGGGGTGGAGGAGGAGGAGGAGGAGGGTCCACCGCAGCAGAGCTCCCCGCCGCTCCCGCTCCCGCGCCCACCATCAACGGAGTTGAGATGAGGAAGAGGAGTGATGGAGAGGAAGTGGAGGTAGAGGAGGTGGAGTGGACGATCATGAGGAGATTAATTTTTTTTGCGCGAATAGAGAGCTTTATTGATTAGGGCATCATATTACAATCTTGCCTCAATAGATGCAAAATACCAGACGGAGCATGAGGAGATTAGTTACATATATGTATGATGGGTTAACAATAAGATTAATTATAAACATCACCATGGAGGGATAGCTAGAAAGCACAAAATTAAGAAGACAATATGACTATCTTCTTGAGGTCAAACATCATATCGATCATACCGTACATCATCCAGTAATACTAACAACACAAGATCGAGTTCATTGTGAAGCATAAAACAAAAATTATTTGTCCATATAGATAATATCTCAAGTCCTTGCACTGATGAAGAGATTTCATCGGTGCCAACCTTGAGAGTTAATACAAAGTATAGAATCACACACAAAAAAAGGAATATAAATTATATGGCACAATATGGGCAGAGATGGATTGCTCCATCAACAAATTAATTTGTGTCTATAAGGGAATGGGCTTGACGTAGAGTTTCTCAAGAACCTCCTGAATGCCCTCGCCGAACGTGAATCCATCAATTCCATCGCTGTAATACAATGGAATGGCCATGGTTATATTGATAAGGCGCTGCACCACAGGGAGCACATCACGGTGGTCAATGCGAGCCTGGTTAGTTGTTTTCCACTCATCTTCTACCAATTCATTAATCTTGGCGATGGCGACATCGGCTGTGACCTTGTGCTCGTTGATGTAACTCTCAACCGAACATGGCATGTCAGCTTTGTTCTGCGACCCGAGCTGCATTCCATGTAGCACACATACTCAATGTCAATATACTTTATACTACATACTCCCTCCTTCCCTAAACGTTTGACGCCGGTGACTTTTTTAAACATATTTGACTGTTCGTCTTATTCAAAAACTTTTGTGAAATATGTAAAACTCTATATATACATTAAAGTATATTTAACAATGAATCAAAAGATAGGAAAAGAATTAATAATTACCTAAACTTTTTGAATAAGACGAAGGATCAAGCATATTTAAAAAAGTCATCGGCGTCAAACATTTTAGGATGGAGGGAGTATAAGATTAGGTACTACCTCCCTTACAGAATATATATAGGAATTTTATACATTTTGAGAAACACGCATAAGTATATTTATTTTGGAATGAAAGGAGTAGGAGTATTAGTTATTATAAAAACATCCAAAGTACCATATGAACTATCGCGGTTGTCCTAACTATTTCTTGAATACAAATACCATACATTTTACACCCTCCACTATTTAAATCGGATGAACTAACCGCTGCACTATTTTGGACGGATTCAAAGAGAAACAAGCACATGTGGCTATCCAGTCAGCACAAAAAATTTAAAATAATTATGGGCCCCACGTATCAACAATCTCATCCTTCTCTACCTCCCTATCTCTCTTGCTCAGGAGCGCTGGAGGGAGTCATTGGCATCGAGCTCGCTCGGTGAGAGTGTTGGAGGTCGTTCTCAGCGGAACAACAGCGCAATGGAACCTCGCTTGGGGAGTGCGCCTAAACGGTGATTGATCTCTTCTCAGGGATGTTTGAGGTGGCTGCCGGTGGCGAAGAAGAGGGTAGCCACGACCAACAACGAAGAGGGAGGTCGCTTGGGTATGGTGCTGCAGCAGAGTTCGAGCTCACCTTGGGGAGGCTGGAGGCAGCGGCCAGTGAGGGAGAGATGCTAGAAGTTAAGGCAGCTGGCGATGGAGCCGAGCTCGCCTGTGGAGGGCATCGGCTAGAACAACAAACTTTAGGGAGGTGGTGGTGGCGGTGGCGGTGGGTCCGACAGCGAAACTCAGAGCTCAGACTTGAAGCTGACTAGCATGGACTTCAGGGCGATGGCAGATGTATGCGAACTCGAGGCTCTCCTACTCACGAAGCTCCACTGCCCGACCTAGACCAAGGGTAGCCGCCAATGGCATCACCATCGCCTGGTGAGGTCACCACTGTGCCTCTCTAGACCAGCGTCATCATCACCTGCGGAGGTCTCGACCGTGCAATAGAGGAAGATGGGGGGTGGGTGTCGATGCCACTCACGATCATGGGAAGAGGGGAAAGAGATAATGGGAGGAGAAAATCTGATAGGAGGGCCCAACATTTTTTTTTAAAAGAAAACTTTGCTAACTAGGCTGCATGCGCGCGTATGTGTCACGTAGGAACGAAAACCACTCTGGGTTGAGTCAATGGCATTATTTAACAGGTTAGAATAGTTGGGAGTGCAAAATGTCTAGCACTTGAATTTAAGGGCAATTCAAACGACCACGATAATTCATGGGATAATCCAGACATTATCCTTCGTTAAAACTATTTTTCCTATCTGTTAGTTGTCTGGTTTTTGTTATATATTGGTCACCGAAATTTACATATGACGGCTAATATGCATGCCTGAAACCGAAACCTTGCATAAAACAAAAAACTTTAATTTCAGTACAAATTAATTGTAACTTCTTGTTTGACTTATTTTTTATTTTAAATTAATGTAGATATATGTTTATGTTTATATAAATAGTTCATAGTTTTTTCTAGATCAGTAAGAAACAAAGTACATTTTCTAAAATTAGGGTTAAAATATTATAATTCTTTGTTTCACAATAAGAATTAATACAAAACATGGGTTATTAATAGTAATATTGCCCCAACAGAAAAAATAATCATTGATCGATATATGTACGTGCTGCAAATGAATTTATACATGTCAAATTAATTAATTAATTAGTTAATCGGTATATATATACCTTAAATCCGGCAATGTCGTTCATGAAACGGCCAGTTTTCCCGCATGAGATGATGGCGTCAGTGCTATTCACAGCCCACTCGTACGCTTGTTTCGTTGTCATGGACTCACTCATGCCAACCATTAAACCAGCAGCCAGCGGCCGTGTTCCTGTGGTCATTGTCGCCAGAGCCACCTGCTCGCTGAAGCTGGGCATGTGCTTCCGGTGGGACCATTCGGCTCCTTCCAGATAATAACTTGACAACCTTTGTAACTGTATGAATATATATATATATATAATTGGGGCAAAGGAGGTCATAAAAAAATTAATTGTGGGACGAAATTTAAGGACAAAACGAATTAATTGTGTAAAAATTATATTATTAATTATCTATGTAGGCATGCATGTTTTTGGATTCTGGAACATATATAATTAATAGAGCTAGATGTACCTCTGTCTTGCTGAAGGCAATCAGGTACTTCTGATTGCTTGGCACTTGATCCTCAAACTCCCTAAAGCAGCGCAAGATAAATTCATAAAACTTTCTCAGGTACTCGGGTACAAGCAAGACAGCACTGTCATCCCATCTGCACGATATTAAAATCAAAGTCAGCATTCATCTAACCACTAATTGTCAGCGTGCTAATAATAATTAAGACATAATTTGATGCATATATAAACATATCCAATGTACCCTTGAATGGCTGCGTTTAGCATCCGGCATTCCTGGATGGAGGTATATCCATGGACATCGTATGTGTCATCTAATAGGGCAATTATCACAACTATCTTAGCAAAGAGCATCCGTGCAAACGACATTTCTTCCTCATGGTACACTGCGTAGGACCAGGTGTAGCACTCAATCACACGGTCTCGAATATGGTTTATACCCATATATCCAGAAACATCTTTCCACCACCTGAAAGAAAATATCATATCAATTTTGTACATACATTGAGACCGTCAACATAGCGCAACGTCAGGTATATATTTAGGAAATTATGTGTGAAACCAACGATCATAATTGAAACAGTCTATGCGTATTTATGATGGTACATTGATCAGTTCCACATTCTTAGATATACTTCGTCTGTTTTTAATAGCATGACAATATTAAATTTTGGACATATAATATTTGACATTTCTCCTTATTCGAAAATTTAGTGTAATTATGAAAATTATATGACATGCTCCATGTACTTGATAAAAGAATTCGCAACAAAATAAATCATACTTACATAATTTTTCAATAAGACAAATGATATTAATTAAACGCCGTCTCCAAAAGTTAATAAGATAATGCATTTAAAACATATTATAATATAATGCAAGAGATAGAATATCATTTTATATTGAATTTAGGGTATATTTTGCTCTCTTTTTTTTGTGGCCACATGAATTCTCATTACCCAGCCGTTGATATACTCGTAACAAATTGATATTAGTACCTAGATATTTCCTTGAGTTCTTTCAAGTGAACACGCTGCAGTAGGTTGAAATCCAGCTTTGCTAGTTCAAGAATAACGGGATTGTGCCCATCCTCTCGGCCATACTCAAACATGTATGATACCATCTCCACTCTCCTGTGTGTCCTTGGCAATGGCAAGTGAAGGGCACGCTTGACTTGATCAGCTAAAGGGGCCTTCAGAACATTACGCCGATTGAATGATTCGAGATGGTGCCTTGCAAAAGAAATGGCTTCCACGAGTTCTGGTTCACCATGTATGAACAGATGGGCTGCATTATATAAAGATAGTAGGCCTCTTGGGTCATCGGCTAATGATAATTCGTTATTGAAAGTGCCATGATCACCTTTGAATTTGTTAAATACATCTGCACATTAGATTTGAGAACAATTAATATATGCGATTATTGTGACATGTTGGGAAAATATATAGTAGAATAAAAGTTTTACTCATAATGACATGGAAAAATCTTACACGTTCATTTTTTTATTCCATGATTGTTTCTAGGTTTTCACTATATACACAGTTTACACTACATATTTTTATAGCATGCCAAGGTTATATAACTGTGCATGTTTTTAAGCCCTTTTATGGCCTCACCGTGTTGATCAATTATACTAAGAAACTTAACAATTTATTAAATAGGTACAAAAATACCTGGAGACACCCAAAATCCATGCTCTCTAAGCAAGCGAAACCGAAGAGCAACCTCATGCAGCTTAGAGCTAGCTAAATCATTTTCATGGATGTCTTTTAGTGCAGAGTCAATCTCCTCTTGAAAGAGGTGATCTATTCCTAGATGTTGAATTGTATCCACTAAGTTCATCCTCTCCAAGATGCCATTTGAGGCCATAATAAACAGTCCGCAGACATCTTCTTTCAATTTGTTGGCTCTCTCTCTCATCCATTCCTCTGATATCTGCTTGCTTACATGCATTGGTTGGTCAGTAATAAGGATTGTAAAGAAAAGAAGTAATAAAATTTTCGATGATATTACTGTAACCAAAGAACGATGCAAAAGAAAGAAACCTAAATGTATGGAAAAAAAAAGGCTGGATTAGGGGAGAGTGAACAATATATCCAAGCTGTTGGTTCATTGTGGAACGGTTGGACTGGCCTGTTAGCTGGTTTAACCGCAACGTGCAATTAAGTCGGTTGGTTGATTAATACTTTTTCGTTTATACTATAAAATGTTTTGACTTTTTTCCTACTAAAATATATTGGTTATGTTTCAAAATAATTATCAACATCTATAACGTCAGATTAGTTTTGTTAAACCTAACAATCATATATATATTTGATGGTCTGTCTGTATGTCTTGTGTTGAAAATGTTCACATGTTTTCCTATAAATTAATCTAGTCAAGATTAAAAAAATTGACTACAGAAGGTTAACACATCTTATAATATAAAATGGGGGAGTATATAGGAGCCTTCTGATGCGAGACATCCAGGGTTGAATCGCTCTGTAAAATCGTCCATTTTGAAGAAGATCATGGCTTCAATTGACCAACTAATTAGCATGTCCTACGTTTTCAACTATCCTATACTGAGTTTATTCTATGACTTTGCTTTTTATTAAGACTGGAATTCAATCTTCCGTAAATTGAAATTACCAATATACTTCCGTAGATTTGCAAAAATGGAATGTACAACACGTATGACACGCCATGGTGGTCAAGTGGTCAACCAGATATCACTATATACCCTAAATTATCAAAATTTTTATAATTCTGTACGACCAATTACATTTGATTTTAAGAAAAAAAGTAATCAAAGGGGGACATCATTTCGAAGAATTATAATCGATTACTGCTAGATTTTATATAGCTTTTACACTTGCCTGCAGTGGTTGTGGTTCATGGTGGATAAAAAACTCGCCCCACACCGAGGGCTCAAAACTTGCCGCCGCTTCCACGGCAGCTGGAACAGGAGCTGGGGCATGTGAATGACAAGACACGGATTGTAAACTCTTGTGCCTGCTTGCTGATCTTAGGATGTCGCACGTATTTCCAGCAGCAACAGCTGGTTTGTGCCAAACCATATGTATAGGAAAACAACATGTGGTAGTAGGTGGCTTCTGCGAAATGATCATTTTGCCGGCATTTATGCCGAAAGCACTAGCAAGGCTGTGATCCATCTATAGCTTTGGCTAGCTTAGAAATGAGAAGAGGATGTACGTACATATACACACACCCAGTCTATATATATAGACTAGGTAAGGTGGTATATATATATATAATGTTCAAATTTGGCAGAAATATATATGTACATTTCTTCTGCGGTATTGATCGATATATAGACTGGATTTCATGATTGAGACGTAGAATATATGACTGAATATTTTTTTGTTTATTAAGGTTTGAAAGATTCTACGTTGGAAATGGATTGGGCGATCGATCGAGCTGAAGGTCAGCACAGAAATGACAAGTAGGATTAGCTAGAGTGCAGGTTAGTCAAGTACACGTTGCTTTGGTTTTCAATTCACGTGGTTTGAATTCTTGGTTTTTGTATGTTAGAATGAGTCGTGACTGTGATGAAAAAGCAGACAGTTTCGTACATGGATGTGTACCCTCTTCTTTCATTACTGTGTGGCAACCTTGTTAGATTCTGATTCATTTGTTCTTGACCAGTTAAAAGTCAGCATATTAAGACTTGTTTGCCTCCAAGTAGTAGAAAGATTCCAAATTTCCAATAGAGAGACGTAGGACATTTTCATGCTGGGTAGGTAGCGACAGCGTGGTAAGTAAGGCAAGTTACAAACAGAATATATACTATGTGTCTATCATATATATAAACTACCTCTCTTTTTTTTTAATATAGGATGCCATTGACATTAATTTTAACAAACATTTAATCATTCTCTTATTTAATTTTTTTTATAAATAATATTTGATGATGAATCAAGCCACTATAAATATATAAATAATAATTAATTAATTTCTTAATGAAATGAATGGTCAAACATATATGTGGAACGACGTGTCGTGAATCGGTAGGGAGGCTACGGCTAGTAGAGCTAGCCTGGTGCATGTCGGTGGCGGCTGTAGGCCGGCGCGACCGCCAGCGGTGGTAGGCCGGCACGATGCGAGACGTGCGGCCGGCAGCAGCGGGAGGCTGACTCTGGAGGTCAGTGCGGGCAACGGTAGGGAGCTCGACATGGCGGGTGTTCCACAGAGGCATGTTGTGGCTAACCGGCAGGGGGTGTCAGGTAAGTGATGTCCTCACGCTAGCGGGGTTGTTCGGTGGTGGGCAATGGAGCAATAGCTAAGCTAAGGATCGACTCGGGGGATGCGGTCGGTTCAAAACTTAGCTTGTCATTGCCAAGCCCACAACGATGGAGCTTTAGTGCCATTTTACCTCTTGGGGCGCTGTGGAGCCGTCTCTCTCCCTCTCGTGGGGTTATCAGGTGAAAAACCTGTCTTGGTTCTCCTTGAGACCTCGACAAATGGCGTTGGCGGTGCTCATCGTCTAGGAAGCTCCCTTGTCAAATTAAGCTTCTCTCAGACAGCTTGTACGTGCTCTCTCTAGATATGATTGTCCTCTTGCGGCGGTATCCTAGCTAATGTAAGATAGTCATGTTGACTTACGGGGAAGAGCACTTTGATCCTTTGCTCTAACCCTGTCTCCTCCAATTCCAAAGGCGTAGATAGAGTTGAGTGTGGTGTTAGGCTGTTGGGTTTGGTTTCGGGCGGTTGAGCTATAGCTTTTTTGTTGGCCTAGCGGGAGCATGTCACCTTAGTAGCGGCCGGTTTATAGTGCTAGCCTTCTCTGGGGTTCTTCGTTGGTGGTGTTTTTTTCTTTTTGTTTTATAATTACTACTTGTCAAAATGCTAGTCTTGTAATTTTTTTATACTCTATTCAATGAATCATCGCTCCATCCGATGTTGGTTGTAAAAAGAAAAAAGAACTTGTCACAAGTCATCTAAGGTGGATCATCCTTCAACATGTTCCGGACAATCTCCCATTTGATCAACGTTTGCTTTCTCCCCCGTACGACCCACGAGGGCGAGGTCACGACAACGTGCACCATGAATTGTCATGCATGATCGATGCATCCCACCCTCATGCAGGCGTAGAGCAGAGAGGATTTGGGGCCAAGAGAGGATTGGGATTCGGTGACATTCCCCCGTGACATTCTTGGTGACATTGAGTCACTGACATGTGGGTCCAGGCACATGTGGGTCCCACATGTCAGTGACTCAATGTCACCAGGAATTTCACGGGGGAATGTCACCGAATCCCAATCCGCCAAGAGAATCCAACACAGCCTTGATCATTGTCGACAGCAGACAAAGGCCGCAGGGACAAATCGCTGAGTGAAGAATGGAGGGGAGCAGCTGACTTGTGGGGACCACATGGGTAAAATGGACATTTCGTACCACCCATTTGCACTGGCAGGACTTCTTGTTGGCACTTGGCACGCCATGTCGATGAAAGTGGCGAAATATAAAAAGTTTTGTCTCTCTCTCTCCAGTAACTAAATGTAATACTAATAACAAATAGGAGAGGGGTATATGGGAGATTTTACAAATTTAATAGTGACAAATTAGTTAAATTTTCCGATGATCATAACACTGCTCATCAACACTTAAAACCGCACAGTACGTATCATACTATCTTCTCCATATGTTCAATAGCCTATGACAATCGGAGGATAATTAAAAACATTTTGGTTTGAACAAACTGTACTATTAAACATGACATATGGTTTGGTAAAAAATACGATATGTCATTGCTTACTTGTCTTCATACGTATTAGAGCACACCAAGCTTCACCTCGGTTAGTGAGCCAGCAGCATGTATGGTTTGGTTAGGGCCAGGAGTTCGGCCATGCTGGGCCTTGGGCCTGTTGGGCCTACTAGGCTGCGCAACGGTGTAAATGGGCCAATAGAGAGGAAAGCGAGCTGGGCTGGTCTGGAAAAAGTGGGCCGGCCTGTAAGAGAGAATGAAAAGATGTCGAGGGGGTTGGATCAAGGGAGTGGATGGAAAGTATGGGCCAGTAGAGAAGAAAGAATTGAATGTGGCCCAAGTGTGATATCCTAAAATTAAATTTGGGACTTTCTATCATAGTATAGTGGGCCGGATGTGTATAATTTAAATTTGCTGTCATACAATGTCCCATGGCACATAAAAGTGCCTCCCTGAGTCCCTGTTTACTTCGTGTAGTTCCCTGTTTATGTAAGTATAGTAATCCTTATGGAAGGTAGTTCTGTAAACTACACTGTAACTTCATGTCTTAACTCAGTTAAAGAAATTGGATGAAATATTCTAACTAACGAGCTAGCTTTTCCTTATCATATCGAGGCTGTTTGATCTCTCATGTATGTCAAGCCTGCGGTCATGCATGTCACATGGAGCGTGTTCAACGAAACACATGACATTCAGCCCAGGAAATCAAGCAGCTAAACACATTGCGTGTGTCTCCGGTTCTCTCCCTTTATATGCTACCCAATCTCTAGCTTTATATAATAAAAAGAATTGAAGTTTTATTATTCTTATTATTTGGCTGTGAAATGAGATATTTGAGAGAACCAAGCATATCAAAGTGTCCTTAGCAGGGTATGGAAAACATTGAGATGATCGCGAGAATACTCAAATCATCCGTAAATTCGAGTTGCTCAAACACAACAGCTTGATCCCAAATCTCACGGACAAGACGTGGAATTCTTCTTACCAAATCCATGAATTCCAGTTGCTCAAACACAAATCCCAAATCTCACGGACAAGATATGGAATTCTTCTTACCAATACTGAAACATGTGGAATTTTGCTCACCAATACCAAAAGAGGCGTGGATCCCAATACCAAAAGAGGTGTGTACGTTCTATTGATTATAATGATCAAAATAGTTCTATTGAGTATAACGATCAAAATACAAATGTGTTTATTGAACAATGCGGCTGAATAATCTCTGCTGAAATTGCAAGTAGCACTAGTGCAGAGTTATATAATAGGGATACAATATGCCTACTCGAGAAGAATAACCCATCATACCAGAATAATTTTCTGGATAATTCAAATTCATCATTATTTTTTATGATGGGACAAATGATTATACCATTCTATTCTTTTATGTTTTATAAAGAAAACCTCATTTAAAACAGAACATGGATTTCTATTTTCACCAAAATCTACCATCATTTTTGATAAAAAATGAATGCTTTCTGTATTATCTGTACTACTTTAAAAAAATGCATAGTGGTTGAAGGTAAAGCCAACGTAAACACGCGAACCAATATAGACACATGACCTTAACCATGGCATCAGAAATCCATAGTTGGCGAGAAAAAAACGGCGCCCCCAATCCCTCTCTATCTCCCCCACACCCTCACCCCGCCGCTGCCGCCTCTATACCTCGACGCGGCGCCATCGCGCATCCATCACTCGTCGTGCTCTCCGCACTCCGCCGCATCAATGCACGCGTCGCCCCCCTCTCTCGATCGCTCCCTCCGTATCTCCCCTCGGCTCTCTCCTCCTCAACTCCTCAATCGACGCCGCCGCAGCCCCCTCTCTCGGTCGCTCCCCCACAACCGCTTGGTCCGCTTCGCTCCGAAGACTCCTCCTTCACTGAATCGCCGGGATCCGCCGCCCCCACCTCGCCCTGCGGCCTAGGGTGCTGCTGCCCGTCATCGTCGAAGGAGCTGGTTTCCGCCGCCTTCTTTTTGATCCGTCGCGTCGCGCACCGTGGCGGGGGATCTCGTGGGGCGAATCCCGCGCCCTCCTCCATCGTCGTCGTCATCGTCCCTGGTCCCTGGTACTACAATTAAGTTGAAATTGATGCGAGTACTATGACTACATTGATATCATATATTTTAGGGAAAGAAGAAAACAATATATATAGAAAAAATAATAACGCAAATAATGTAAAATATTGGTTCAAGTTTTTACATTCTTATGAGCCATTTTTTCTATATGTTTATTTTCTACTAGGTTCTAATGAATATGTAAAACTTACAAGTTTTATAAAATCACTGCAATTTAACACAACACACTTACTATTATTTTTCCTAACACATGCACCTATACTCATGAACTTAAACAACACAATCTACCCAAATAATTACTGACAAATCATAAATTACTATTTGATCCATCTCAATTTTCGACAAACATATAGATAATTAAAATCCAGTAAAACATTCTTTTGAATATATGATTTATGCATAATTTGAAATAACCCATATAC